TCCTGTATAAGGGATGGCCGGTGAGCTCACTGGCTGAGTGTGGTGCGGACAACACCGAGCCAGGGGTTACAATCCCCTTACCGGTCAAAAAAAAAAAAAAAAGAAAAAGAAAAAAGAAAATCTAATTAGATAACAATTAAATTTATTAACTCTTGAAAGTCCAGGTACATCATTATGATTTCAACTATCAAGCCCACACAACATGGTTTAAAATATAAATTGAATTAAATGTACACTAAGACTAGCGCAGAGCAGCAAAGCAGTATATAAATGAGCTCAGCTATCTATATAATGTTTGCATCTGAATAAAGCTAATTGTACTGTATTTGGTAACTCTGGAGGGATAAATACTTTGCTTCTTTGTAACAAATGGCTCCCCCCTAAAACCTAATTTACTGGGAATTCAAATATTTGGGGATTCAAAATGACTTATGATTAAAGTCACATTAAAACAAATAAACAATCCAATAAAAAATAACTGGACATAGAAATAAGAATAAAAAATAAAAATTTTAAAAGTAAATAACTGGATAGAAATATACAGAAATGTTAAGTCATAAAAAATGAAAAGAAAATTAAAAATAAATGAATAACAAACAAACAAAAAGAAATGTTAACAGTCTTTGGAAAACAGAATCATATGCAGTTTTTCTACTTTTCAGTAACTTTCAAAATTTCCAAAATAAACTGCCATAGTAATCAATCAGAGGCTAAAATAAGGCTTTTTTAATAGTAAATATAGTATAATTCCATTTCATTAAAAAAAATATGTGCTTTATATTCAATATATATATATATATTTTTTGAGACCGGCAGTGAGCGCACCGGCCATCCCTATATAGGATCCGAACCCACGGCGGGAGCGCTGCTGCACTCCCAGCGCCGCACTCTCCTGAGTGCGCCACGGGCTCGGCCCCTATATTCAATATTTTAACACCTGGAGGATATATAAGAAACTACTGTTAGACATATCTTTGAGGACAGGGACAAAGAAAGCAAAAGCAGACCTTTACTTTCTACTTAATGACTTTTTGTCCTATTTTAACATTTTACAAGTATATATTATGTTTATAGTAAAAACTTTGAAAAAATAGAATAAACTTTTAAATATGCATAATAATTTTAAAACTTCGAGACACTCATAATTATACAATCAATGTGTGCTACTTTTTCCTATATTATCCTTGCACCAAAAGCAAGCAAATACACATTTTCTCAGCTTTTTTCACTGTAAGCATACTGTTTTTGTTAACTTTATAGGACTTGATTGAATATTCTAACATATAAGTGACAAAAAAATATTTTTTATTGAGCTCAAGCAATACACATTACTTTCTTTTTCCCTCTCTCTCTCTCTTTTTTTTTTTTGGTGGCTGGCCAGTACCGGGATCAAACTCTTGACCTTGGTATGATCAGAACCATGCTTTACCCAACTGACCAAACTGGCCAGCCAATACACATTATTTTCTTTCCTTCTGCTTGTGAGTGTGTCCTCATGGTTTTGTTTTGTTGGTAGTGGTTTTAAACAAGTCAAATTTTAATCAGTTCATTAGCATTTATTTCTAATTAGAAAAGCATCTACAGGCATTGACTGATCTCTATCTTTAAAGAACTAAATGGCCTGTGCTACACTGCTCCAATAAAATAGCTATATAGGTAAGTTTAAATCCTTTCTTAATTTGTAGAAATCTGCACTAACTCATATGAATAACTCCTTGGGATTTATGCTGTACTCATATATCAGGCTCAAAATTATTTAGCTTTATTTTTGACAAGATCAAAATAAATGGTAGCCACTGCCAAATAAATCATAAGCTAATATATTTTTATACTGAAAGTACTATGAAAGTAATTATAAAAATTAGCATTCACACTAAACACTTAATTTCAAAGACTCAGGAAAGGCAACTAGTTTTTATTTTGCAAAGACAGTAAAATACCTAGCAAGGCTTGAAAAATACAGAAGTCCCAGGTTATCACATTACCTTTGTTTATAAATTCAGAACCCCCAATTTTAAACCATTTAGCATGCTTTAAAAATGACTCTCACTCAGTACCTAATAAAGTAAATTCTCCCTTAAACTCTTACCTGTAATGTTGCTGTTGAGGGGGAAGTGCCCATGTGATGGTCAGAGCATGAATTTTTCTGATTGGAACAACTAAACAAAAATATTTTCCAGAAGAATAGATGTAAGTGTTTCTCTACAACTTTTACTGTGTTACAAGAATGTCTTTTTTCAATTCAATATATTTCATCCTCCAATAAACAAGGGAAGGTTAAATGCAATGCAATTATTATTTCAAGCTGCCTATTTTCCAGTTTGAATAATGCAATTTTAATAAGTTACTTTTTGATTTGGTTTCATAGGTAGAGAAAGGAGGAATAAAAGAACTATGAGAACACGAAATGCTACTAAGTCTTACAAGAAAGGATACAGGACTAGGAATCAGGAGACCCACTGCTGAAATCTAGCCCTACCACTATCTTCCTGTATGTGCTTATATGATCTTGAGAAAATCACTTGCATTTAAATCTTTCTGAATCTGTGTTCTCATCGTAAAGTAACTGGTTGGACTTAAAGTATCTTTAAGATTCTTCCCAGTGTTATTATTCTATGATTCTATGAATAGGAAAGGTAAAGCCAGAAAGAATACAACAGAAAATAAGTTGTTTCTAGAAAGAGTCAGCTTAAAAGAATGGAGCCAGCAGCAGAAAGGGTATGACAAAACAGTCACTGATCAGACAAAGGGAAGATGAAAGAGACTGGCAGTACAGTGAAGGAGCAGGAGGGAATATGTAAAGCAATTAGGAGAAAGAAAAAAATCTCCCATGATTATAAGACCAAAGAAAGAATGGCGAATTAAGAATGTTTCTGAAGGGCCGGCCCGGC